GTGTTCCTTCTTCCTACTTCCCACGTAATTCATTGTGCAAATAGCCTTTACGTGCTCATTTCTACACCCAGCACATTCTAACACAGCCAGAGGTTTAGTCCTCACCATGACAAACACTTCCTTGTTGATCTGACCACATAATGGCTTTTGTACATCCTTCCCACTTAGCGTTTGGCATAGAATTGGGAGCATCTGCAATCAAGAAAAGAGACATTGTGAGGACAGATATAAATAATCAAGAGGACATTCCTGCAAATATCATCAACTCCCATACGCTGGCTTTCGAACCACTTTATCCAATGCATGGTCACCCGTTAGCCGGAACCCATCCTGTCAAGCCACAGGACATCCTGGATGGCAGTCCCTCTCAGGGCACACACACCCACACCAGGGCCAATTAATATACCAGTCTGTCTTTGGACTGTGAGAGGAAACCAGAGCACCCAGAGGAAATCTACTTGACCTCAGGGAGAACATACAAACTCCACACAGACAGCTCCCCAGGAATTGAACTCAGGGCCCCAGCAGTGCAAAGCAGCAGTGCTGACTATTGTACCACCATGCCACCCGTCATCAACTCCAAATGCTGCATGTGCTTTGCTGATACTATTAGCCAAAGCAACTCCGGTTCCTATTCATTTTTTCAGCAGACCATTTTACTAGAGCAGCCTTGGTGAGGGACCGTACCCTGCTCAAGAGTGCAACAGCAGTACGCAACCTGCAATTTGAACCCACAGCATTACCCTTACAATTCCTGACCCTAACTGCTGTTTCGTGTTTCCCTCAAATAGACTAGGAAGGCCAAAACAGGAGAATGGCACTTAAGTTGGGATCCTAGATCATTTTAAGTTCTGCTTTTTATCCTAATTGATCAAAGTACCCACGAGAGGATGTATTGACCTAATCCGGGGGTCTGGAGCCTTGGTGCAGGAGAGTCACATCCTCCCAGGTTTACTGGAAACATTAAAAGGTTAATCAGACCTAGAAAGCATGTTGACTCCCCCTGTATTAAAACAATAATGTGGAAATACCACAGTTCTTCAACACCACAATTGCACACCTTTTACACATCTTTGAAGTGCGAGAAATTCTGTTTATGTTTTTTAGTTTCTCACAAGAGTCATCTTTTCTATTTACATAAAAGGGGAGGCATGGTGATGTAGAGGTTGGTGCAGCTACAAAAAATAAATATAAGTTTTATTTATTTTTCTACAACTGACTGATATATTCAGTTCATTTGATTTAAACCCCTTTATAAAGGAAACATTTAAAATGTTCCCATGAGAGTAATTCTCAGTAAATTGTATTGCATCGACATAGTGGTACCAGAATGTAATTTGAATAGCGACTTTTGTGCTGTTCAGTGCTACCCTAATATCAACATTATAAGTTAGATCATAGATTGTAAACAACAGATTTAAAAACAAGATGATTAACTGTTTTCTATGGTTTTTTTTTCTGGCATTTTAATAGGCTTGTCAGAGCTATGAGGCGTTTGTCCAAAGTGAAACACGAAGACTATCGTTGAATGAATTACAAATTCCATTCAGATTGCAGTCTACACCAAAAATGACTTCTCAACACCGGTAGAAAGAAAATATGATTCAAGTTGTGAAAAGCTCAAAACAAGCATCATGTCCAGGACATCATTAACGGCTGATTTCTCTCTCTGAAGATCTAAGATCTAAGAAAGAGCAGCAGATTTTCAATAGAAAAAAAAATATTCTTAAACAGCCAGCCTTCCTTTATAAAACAAAAACCTCCAGGTATTTTCACACAATAACTTGCCTAGGAAAAGTGAAATGGCTTAGAGGCACTGACTTTAAACACCAGGGCAAAGCCCTCGGAACTCTAACATAGAACAAACGAATGTCAAGGGGAGGATATGTTGGGAAGCGATTCCTTCTTCTCAGAATAATGACACAGGACAATACGGAAACATTCATAATATTTCGGTAGTTAGAATACTACTGCAACCATTTTCTCTTGACAAACCTCTGTAACTGTGACAGGGAATTACTGTTTTTTTTTTCATAATTAAACAGAACAGGAAAGTATAAAAATAGAAGAGACGCGTTTTCATTTTAAAATACTAATTTTTTTTCAGCTACTGGCGGCGCTCCGTTGTTCCAGGGTTAGGATGGGGAACCCGTACCTGCAACATTGCTTGGTGGCGTGTTCAGCTACAGCGCTCGCAGTTATCGTTATTGTGAGCCAGTCAACCTTTGTGTCAGGTGTTCTCTCAACCTGAGAAATATTCTCTGAGGAATCATTAACCGCATCTATCGTCATTTCAGTGCCAGCTTGCCCATTGCCGCTCGCCAGTGAACTGGGCAGTCAATCCCGCCACAGCGTGTTCTCCAGAGAGAATGAAAGACGAGTTACGCTTCACTAAAGTACAGTATGACTGGGATGCTAAACTGGGTCTGGACATGAGGTTAAAAGGTGATTTGTTTACTAAATGAAAGTTATTGTGTTGGTTTAACACGTTAACTTAAAAGATATTTTCATAATAACGATTTTTCAAAATGGATTCTTTCGCGTTCATCTCCACCGATCGCCCATTCCTTGCTCAGAAAGAAAAGTATGAACACCTCTACTTCTACTTTCTTTTTTCTACGATAGTTACAAAATTGTTTGATTTGGTTGAGCAGTTTATTAAGGTATTAAATATTAGTATATAATATGATATTAATATAAGTAGAAATGTGGTTTCACGCTTTTGTAGATAATTTTTTAAAATGTTTTTCAATCTTCATGAGCGCTTGCTAGCACAGAAACGCTTTGATTAAAAAAACACATAAAAGATTTAAAAAGTAACACAGCACTTTGTATCAGGAAATTCCAATCGGTGTTTTCATCTGCTTCACAAACTCTTAATGCCTATTGAAGAAACCACATCTTCAGCAGAACCCGTAGTATCCCCATTGCAATGGTGGAAAGACTATTCTGGAAAACAAGAAACACAATCGCGGTGGGGATAGCACTTTGCAGTTAACATTCCATGCCTAGTGCCACATGCTTCATTCTGTCAGTAATCTCTTATTTCTACATTCAAGAAATAAGAAGTTTATACAGATTGCGTTGTCTGTTATCAACTGCTTTTCAGAACGTGCTTACCTGGAAGTCTGTTTAAGGTCACCCAGTAATGTTCATCAGGACTGTAGGTGTCTTTCGACCATTCCAACAAATCTGTCGCTCTTTTATCTTCCACAACGAAGCGGGCAAACTCCTGTGTTAATGCGTAGTAGGCAGTGCCAAAATAAATGGTGAGGTTGTGAGGAGGAGGGGATTTCATTTTGGATGTCCTGATAACACCAGAACCGTGAGCATCAAGGCGTTCTCGGAAGACGGACTGTGTCCTGTAATTGGTGTGGGCTGGGTCGAGAATTCCCGGGGTAAGGTTTTTGTTCTTATATGTCTTTAAATGTCGGATAATCTCAAGGTTTGTCTTCAAGGGGAAATCCTGTCCACAGAGGTTAAGGACATATTTCCATGGACCATTCATCGAGACCAGGTCCTTCAAGCAGTGGACATCAGCCTGGAGCCTGGATATTCCAGCATAAACAACGGGCTCCATTTTAGAGGAAAGAAAAGCATTGGGAAAACAATTTACCAAAGCTTCAACAGCCATCTTATATTCCACAGGAGATTTCTCATCAATGTGAATGCAGTACACGTTCTGAGGGGCATAAATAGCCCTGAATGTCCTTTCGAAAGTTTCGTACTCTTTATGTAAGGTGAAGATATAAGCCAAGGGAAATGCTGCTTCCTCCGAAGACAATGTTTTGGTTATGAAGTGATTGTCGGCGATGTATTTATTGCACGAGATATTCAAGTGAAGGGGTCGCAGGAAATTGCATTCTGTCTCTTGCTTTGATCCTCGCACAATGGCATTGCAAGCTTTCTCCAAACTCTCCGACTCCTGTGACCACTCGCCTTTCTTCGGCTTCTGGGTGTCATTGGCAGTTTGTCCCCAGTAACAGAGCACAGTGATGAGACCACAAAGAGTGAAAATGAAAAGTAATCGAATGTTCAGGAGCTGTCTGAGCATTTTCTATGCTAAAAAGTAACCTTCTGAGCTAGTGCTTGTAGTGCTGTTTCTCGAAGGCAGTCATGCGGTTTTGTGATTCTCTCGTGAATAATGTCCCAGGTTAGGTTTCTTTTTACAAACTGAAATGATAAATGGAACACTAGAACTTTAGCACCACCCATCAGATGAAATGAGTTTGCTGTGCAAGAACAAAACTGTGCTTACCATTGGCATTCGAAAAAGAAACTATTTGCTTATGATAACATGCTGATATACCATAAATATGTTTCAGGCTTCTTGACATGGTTTTGGCACATTTATAGAAAAATGCTGTGTTTGTGCTTAAGGGCTTGAACCTAGAAATGTAATGTTGTGTTTCTGTAAAGAAGCATTTCAGAAAGGGATAATGGTTGTTAAATTCAATATATGATTTACATTAAAATCGCTCACTCCTTAAGATCTTCTTTCTGTAAGCCAGTCGAAGTGAGAGTGTTTTAAGGTGCCAGTAACTGAAGGTAAGTATGAATAATGCAAAGGAACAAGTAACACACACCTGAAGAAGGCTCCACGCCGAAACGTTGTGTTCTCTTTCTTCTTCTTTTTTTCAGCATGGAATAAACCTATTACTTGTTCCTTTGCAGCCTACGCATGCTGACGCAGCTACCCAGCTGAACAAGTATGAATAATGTTTTGCAAAGCACTATTTTGGACATCTTAATAACTTGATACATTGGCAATAAGGACTTTTCATTTTCTTATTACCTTCTTTATAAATAAAAACTATTTTCAGAATTTCTTGAGAAATAAAAAGACTGCCTCGACTGGCACCTGCATGAGAAACTTGTCAATGCGGTTTATTTATCCCAGTGATCCTCATATTGTGTACATGACAGGGTAGACTTGGGCTGAGCAAGCCCAGGCAAAGTCCAGTGGTATCTGATATATACGGTGAGTCTTAATCTGTGCTTGAAAGGATTACACTTTTACTGGCTGATATACTCAGGAACTATTTAATATTGATTGTTTAAAGGACAGGATACATTTAAAATATTACCTACAAAGAGACAACTCCCTTCAGTTTCTTCATCATTTGTGCCCTTTTTTGTTGCTTCCCATTTCAGAGCTACGTATATTACTGGTCTGCATTCTTTTCTTTTGATAAATTAACTTTTTAATTTGTTTATTCTAAAATATTGGCTTAGAGGTAGACCTAGAAGATTTTCAGAAGCCTTTGTTTATCTAATAGATTCTTATCTGTTATTAGTGATTAACACAGTTATGAAAGAAAATACTAATTTTACACTTTAAAATGTAAACCACAGTAAACAAATGAAATAAACAGAACATTTAAACATAACTTTCATTTTCTCCTGTAAGTTTCATTTTAGTGCTTTCCAAACGGGTGTGGCCTTATTTGAATAGTATTCAAGGGGTGGCTGGAAAGATGAAATTTGTATTATATACTGTACATGCTTGTATGCAGTACACACACACCACTGGGCGGTGGCACATGGCTTCCTGGAGACCGTACTGAGGCCCTTGTTTACTGAAAACAGTAAGAAGAAACCTCTGTAACCGTTAATCATGTTTGAGCTAAAATCAGTGGTAAAAATCCTCTCAGAGGAAGTTGAGAAGGCAGTGTATACTCACGAACAGTTGAGAAATGTATTCTCAGTGGTTAGAAACCTACTGTTGTTGCGTACACCCTTAAAGGCACACGTCACTGGAGAGAACAGGTGCGCTTTCACACGCGAGAGCAGAAGGAAACAATACCTCCTATAAAACAAAACGTTTTTTGAGTAAACTACCGTTACTCAAAAAAGAAAATGGCACAAAGGGACCTGAAGAAGTAAGAGTACTAACTGTCCTGGAGGTTTCGGAGGAGATTTGCCTTCCACTTGTATGTATGTCTGTGAGTTCAGCCAACAAACTCATAGTGATATAATAATTAATCATCATTATTAATGACATTATTAATAATGATTTTGCTGGGACATTTACACATGAACCTGTTCTGCATCTGCACACATGCTGGTTGTAGAGTCTGTCTTGAAACCCAGTGCTGGGCATACTGTTTACTTATGTTTTTTCTTTGCAAAAATACTCTTCGCTTTAGTAAAAATGCTTTGAAAAAAGAAAGTCTATGTGTGTATTTTGGAAGTAGGCAGCTGCATCAGCATGCGTAGGCTGCAAAGGATTAGATAAAGGTTGATGTCTTGCTGAAAGGAAATAGTAATACGGCAGTGCAGCAGCGACGTGGAGATAAAGAGGGATACTTTATTGTCCACTGCTGTGGAACTTTGTCTTTGGCTTCTCCCACAGACGTACAAAACACACAAGCAAAGCAGAATAAGTCTTAATTTGGAGGGGAAAAAAAACTCCGTAAGAGATTTTGGGGGAAAGTCCTGGTTTCCTCGGGGCACCGGGACGTTGCCGTGGAAAAGCGACACGACGCCTCGGCTGTGCAGCCTTCGTCAGGGGTGAAGCAGCTCAGCACGTCCCGCGGCCGACAGCGTGCGTCTCTTCCCTTGGCAGTATTTTGTGTGTGTGTGCGCCCGCGGGTTAGTAAGTAACGGGAGTGTGATCAATACAAGTTCGTAGTTATGAAAGTAGAAGAGAGATGATAGCAGCTGCCCTCTTTAATCGCCAGAATGATCTATTATTTTGAACAAAACGTATCAATAAAGGCAGGAATCCACTTGGATCGTTTGGGGTTATTAATGTGTGCTGGGGGGGGCACCTGCTGCCACAAACCGGGATCTTCCATGCAGTGGATACGTTTAAATTCCTACATTTGCCACTAGCAAAACCCCATTAACAAATGATGAAAAAAATGCACTTTACCTGTTTCACTTTATGCAGTGCCCAGCTGTGAAGAGCCTGGCTGCTGAACCGTTATCAAATTGTAACGCATACGGCCGACATTGCAGGTTGTGGGAGCGCGGTGACGTCTCCGCCCTTCCCTGTGAATAGCAGGGACCGCAGCCGTCGGGCTGACGAAAGGTTTTTTTTTTTTTTAGCTCAACTGGCTGGGTCCGTGTTGAGTGACGCCGGAGGCCCGGGTTCGAGTCCCCAGCAGGTGGGGAGGGGCTCATACCCACGTGAACCCGAGAGTGCTACAATGTGTGTGTGTCTGTGTGTATTTTATCTAAGCACCCTAAAGGTGTGTGTCTGTGCAGCAGGTGTGAGTCCAGTGCGGATCGGTCCACAGCCCAGAGAGGAACCACAGTCATCAGAAAACAGCTCTCTGCTCAAGCACCTTGCCTGCAGTGGGAATTTTGATGGATGGAGGCAAATAAGGAAAACAAAAAGGCGATGAATCCATCAGCCACACTTTTGACATACTGGCCGTGTTTCTGGCAGTCTCTTAAATTATTTTTTGAATGTATTGTAAAATCCCCAAGTGTGATTGACTAATTATTAACAATTATTCACAGTATTTCTGCCTCATGGCCAGGAACTGGGGAAGTCCGGTTCTTCACGTTTCCTATTAACTATTCCATGTTTAGAGCATGGTTTCTTTGAACACTGGAGCCAGGGCTGGACCCAGAAGAGACCCTGGTCCTGGTTAGCTCCAGTCCAGCTGGCCTGTTTTTAAAAGACTGGCAACACCTGGGAGCTATTGAGGAATCAAGGAAGCGAACTTTTTAATAAGCACAGAAGAACAGATTTCAGACTTTGATGATCTTTAAATGACTTAATATAACAAACCACCTGTTAAATTGGTCACAGTGGAATTGTTCCATATCTTAAATACTACTACTACTACTATTACAAATAATTACTTACACTTATATAGCGCTTTTCTGGACACTCCACTCAAAGCGCTTTACAGGTCATGGGGATCCCCTCCACCAGCACCAGTGTGCAGCCCCACCTGGATGATGTGCCAGTACGCTCCCCACACACCAGCTCTCAGTGGGGAGGAGAACAGAGTGATGAAACCAGTTCAGAGATGGG